TTTAGGCAAAAAAGCAATGTAAGGTTTAGTAAAATATTTTTGTTTGGCTTAAATGGGACTTATCATGCAAAATGCACTTTTTGATGTCTTTTATACATAAATATGTGTCCCCGGTGCGTCGGAGAACTCATGCAGCGTCAGAAAATAAAACCCTTTCTCTTTTCCTACGCACCCAAATCTTTTAAAAACGGGGGGTACAACGAGCGGATACAGATTTGCTGCCAATTTCAAATCGGCGGCGGACCCACAGAAAGTTGCTATCAGAAACAATGCCTGATGTGTTTTGGTCGTAATCTCGTCTTTGTTTACATTAGCAAGCCTCTCTAACACTCAGAGCTAACCTGTACTGTAGAGCACATGTGTTTAAAAAGCAGGAAATAAAAAAAGGAACTCACCTTGTGATACACCCGCAAGAGAAAAAGCATTTGAGCTCCATACTGTTTCAGAAATAATCTTTGATGTGGTCTAGAACAGGATGGCGTTCTATCAAAGCAGAATGTAACTTTGTCTCCGGTAGAATTCTTATCAGGCATTAGCTCCGCCTCCTCTTTTTTTTGTTTTTTTAAGCTAAGGACCCAAAATCTGCGTTTCTCTAACGGGGCTGAAAAAGAGGGGGATGAGCAATATGAGGCATGGCTACAATGGGTGAACTGTTTGGTATTTTAAGCAAAAGACTTCACATACACGTTTTGTATAGGTATGGCCCTACAATATATTTTTCCAATATGGCATGATAGGTCCACTTTAAGTAAAATATCTCAATACCTCTTCCACCTCTGCATGATTTAAATACATGGATTCAAGTGTTTTTAATTCACAGCACGCAACTCAATGGATCTTTCCCTCATCCTGCTCTCTTTCCTCCAGAGCATTACGCAAAGTGAAAGAAAGATAATCCCCTAAAGGCAGATGGAGAACAACAACTCAGACACAGACAAACAATCCCAATTATTTCTAAAGATCACTAAAGCTGAATATGTGAAAGGACAAATATCAGCAGTCAACAAAAAGGCTCCAGAGCGGTAACACATTGATAGATCTTTTGTGTTGGGAACAGACTGGAGGAGAATTTGAGTATATGTAAACGCTTTACAAGATACCTTTCGGTTACATTCCCCATCCAAAATGAGGAGCAGGTGTCACTGCGACAGGCCCACATTCATGAAAGAAATGCTCTCATTCAACTACAGCAATGTCAAATGGTTGCAAACATCTGTAACTGATCATAAATTCACTTCCATTAAGTCCACATTAGCCAGGGCAGCACAGACAGAGAAGAGAGATGCAGTATGATGCATCATTTAGAGGCAAACAAACAGAGGTGGCCTGAATCCATTTTTATTTAAAGTATGTGGAAAAGTGGAAGGAGTTTTGATTCTTTTTCAACCATTCAACTTTGAGAATGTGTGAGTTTGTGTCTCCTGAACGCATCACTCTAAGGTGAGCGGTCTAAGACAATGGCAGATATGAACTGAAAGCTCCTTCAGGGGTTAGTTTGGCTCAGGGGACCCTGAAACACACGAGCATACTTATTATTATTTATGTAAGCATGTCATCCTCCTGTCTAATGAGCCTTTCACCGTGAGCGTAATGAAACAGCTTGCATTAACACAGGCTAAATGAACAGCCAAGAGCTCCCATGTTTATGCAGCAAGATGAAAGCAGATGCTCCGCAAACCCAAACACCAGCGTAACGGACCTACGCAGAAACAGAAGGGACATTGAACGCCGCGTCCTTCTCACCAGCTCATTGACTCCATCAGAAAGATCTTGAATCCCCCCCTTTGGTAAAACATCATTATGTGAGAACTACGCCTAGCTGAGCCATGACCAACTGACCATGAATGAACCTTTAAATTGATTTGTTTCTCCTATAAACGCGGCAATGATAAACAGGTTTCTCTCTGGCTAATAAACCCAGACTCTAAGTGAGGCGGTGTAAACACATTCCTCTGAGAGCCAGCTGCAAAGCTGAAGACAGACAGGGGCGTCAGAAAAGGCAGCATTTATTACATGTTAGATTATATGCAATTTGGTCGGGTAATTGATGGGCTGTGTTGTGTTGAGAAAATACCGGCTGACTTGAAGGATCCAAAAATAGCAGGAAATAAAAAGACTCCTAGAAAATAAAGCTTTCCCTTTGTTTTTTAAGGTAAACTCTAAGCATGACTATGCGTGTGTGTGTGTGTGTGTGTGTGTGTGTGTGTGTGTGTGTGTGTGTGTGTGTGTGTGTGTGTGTGTGTGTGTGTGTGTGTGTGTGTGTGTGTGTGTGTGTGTAAGACTTTAAGAGTAACCTAAACCGTTGCAATAAATAACTTGATTTTTCAAAATATGTGTTGTGAAAATTACTAACATTATTGTAATGATATTTCATTTTTACCGTGGACACATGACGTAGCCTTAACACAATAGGGGCCTCTTTAAAATACTAATGTAGAGTGTACAAACAAATATGATATTACTTTAAACATCAAACACATTTTATCAGACATTTAAAAAATCTGAAAATAAATCCTAAACGGATACAGTGACACCCAACTGTGTTGTGCAAACAGAGTGTAACCCTGTTAAAGGTCTAAACTTCAGCTAACTTGATACAGTATATGCAATTCAGTGTGTAATAATAAACCTTATGATTCATGAGAAAATGTCTAGAGGAAGATTATATTACTCACTTCTTGCATTTACTTTGACAGTATCTTAAAGGACCAATCCAGAGTTTTTCAAACTTCTAGTTATATGTGAATTGATTACAATATCAACCTCAAGATTGTTTGAAATGTTTTCCCTGCAATTTCAAGCAGCCATACTTCATGGCGCAATGTTCTAAATAAAAATGAACCTGCAGAGATTGGATTTGGATCAAACTATTTAAATGTACAGTGAAAAGGGGTTGTTGAATTGTGCAAGAACAATTTGCTCATAACACTGGTGTGTGGCTGAAAGTAGGGAGTGAAAAGTTTGCATTACCTCGCAACAATTCGTTAAGTTTGACCATGTTGACAGAAAACACTCTTAGTCTCTTGCAAATTGATTTCCTCAGCTCCAACAAGCGAAATCAAGACTTGTGAACACGTGAAAGCAATATAAATGCATTCAGAAATAAACAGCACCCCTGGCATTCTTTGGAAGATGGATTAAAGCAGCTTTAAGAATGAATCTTTTGTAATAAATCAGGCCAAAAAAAAAATACTGGCGCTGGATTGAGAGTGAAAGGGAAACTCACCGGTACCAGTCCAGCCCTTTCTCGTAGTTCCTGTCAAAGAAATGTGGCTCATTCCCAACGGCTCTGACGTCCGGGTGTACCCTGAGCGCCTCCAGCAGGGCTCTGGTCCCCCCTTTCTTCACCCCGATGATGATGGCTTGGGGAAGTTTTTTCACTCCGTAATCCATGGTGCAGTTCACCCTGAGTTCGCTGTCCGTGGTGCTGAGTTCCTGGTGCTCCCTCTCCAGCGCGGTGGTCTGATACGCCGCCGCAGATTTAGTTGGAGACGCCTGACTCCTAATCCACTCCACTGTCCTCTGCTCGGCCTCAGCATGATCCCTCGCCGTGGAAACCGCGGTGGTTCTCTCGGTCTCGGTGAATTCGCTCAAGCCCTGGGAAGTGGAGTAAAGTTTCTCCCTCAATGTCACAAAAGTTGTCTCCTCCGTCACCAGCCTCCCCTGATACGCGTAGTTCTCTTGCAGAGGGAACTGCAGCGAGTTGTAGCAGCTCATCAAGCTATAGAACAAGTAGGTGACAGAGAGGGAGAGGGTGAACATGAATAAGATTTTCCGGGGCACTTTAGAGGTGAAAACCGAAGTGCTGGACCAAAATGCCATCTCTGATAGCAGTGATCCTCTCAGAGAAGTGGCCAGACATGTTTCCACCCCGAGTCTTGCATGGACAAAAACAACAGCAATAATCAGTCACTATCAGCGCAGCTCCAGCTTTAAAAGCGTGAAGCTGGACCGAACCAACCTAATCCAGCCAAATCGCATATTTAAAAGGATAGCAGGGAAATGGATCGTTAAAATTCCGGGAGAATATCGCGTCCCTCTTTTTCTTGAGTATCGATTTCTTATTCCAAGGCTGACAGAGAATGTCACAATTTATTGGACTGAACTTGCAGATTTGAGACGCTGGACATCAGGCGTCCTTCCAAATGAGCAGCCTGGCTTGAACTGAACAATGTATGATGGGCACAATCCTGGCATTTTATAAAGAAGGAGGAAAAGAGAAAAAAGAAAATGAGTGTTCAAAGTCTTCTTCTCATCAGGAGCCCGAAGTCCTGATCAGTCTGCGATACAACCAAAACCCCATTGTATGTTTCCAAAAAATATCCTTTTTTATTCTCTGACTTTATGTGGCAGAAAGTCCGCAGGTTTTGCACAAAAGCATCCACTCTTCTGACCATAGCAGGCTGCTGTCGCCGTCCTTTGCGCCTCCTCAGATTGGCAGGATCCTGCGATGTGCGCATCGGCTGAGTGAGCTCATCTTACTGAAGCACTGTAGAGCACACAGCACAACTAGTGTGTGTATACACCCACTTTGTCCTCTATCCGTGCACAAGTAGGGCTATAAACGTCAGATTTCCTCATGAAATAGTTGCGTGGAAAGCTGCTCCTGCTCGTTCCTGCGCCTGCTTGCAGAGGCGGGAATTACAGTCCGGGAATATTTTAGGGCTCATTACGTTTTTGAATTGTTTCATACTGTTTAAAGTTCACTATAAAACTCCATCTCAGAAAGATTTTTGATAGATGTTATATTTTACAGAAAGCTCATGTCTGCACCCTGCTGGTTTTCTGAGGAGCAATGCATAATCATTTGAAATAAAAATACAGAAAATGCTGTATGATTTTAAGAGATATAAAAGCAGCATTTATGAATCAAAACGGATAATGAGCATCCCTGTGTGTTCAATTAAATCCATGAGTCACAGTTCTCCTGTATTTTTCTAAATGCAAGAGAACAATCCTGCGTTATGCTGAGGATGGTTTGCATGCTTAGGCATATTATAAACTGAATTTATTATACATGGGTGCAGACTATAATTACCAATGAGGATATTCACCAGACCTTAACTTGTACTCTTTGTTGCCGCAATATGACGATTTAAAAACGTGTGCCACTGAAATGTCTCCTAGTATTATAGAATATCATTCATCACACACCTCCAACACAACAGGAGAGCCAGCATCCCACTGATATATTTGCAATTCCCGCCTTTCAGTACAGCATACCACTGTTATATTTCAAGTTAAGATTTGGAAATATTTATATGTAGGACTTTAAGTTGCCCAAGTATGTTTCTTATACATCTCTTTAGCTGGCTCGGCATGCAAACCAAGGGATCCAGGAAATCAGTTTATTATAGAATGTTGCATTCAGTGCATTTTCACCAAATCAGACGTTTGCCATTCCTGAATTTTCTAACATACAGTATAGTCAAGCTTTTTCTACCCAGTAGATGTAAGGTGCTGTCTAAACTTACAATCTACATTGTAGAGCTTTCTAGCAAATGTTCAGCTCATTGTTTAGCTCTCCAGCCCGCAACATAACCGTTCTAGTTCACTATCACCGCTATAATAGTGCCGTTTTCGGCTTCAGCAGGCAGCTGTTTTCAGAGAAACAGCTCTTAAAACCAACCAGCTCAGCACCAATGTCACACAGACACAGTACTGTACCACTGTAGCGACTAGCTTGTGATCATACTGGAGCATATGCTGTAGCTTTTCAAGAGCCTGATATTTCTTAGAGTTGGACCATAAACTGAGCTCAAAGAGGAAAAAATCTGACTTTATCTTTAGGTGGTCAGAAACAATACTCCAACGAAATTATAATGTTGTTACATAACTGGTATGAATAAATCACAAACAATTCAGCCATTTCAGATGTAAAGGGGCCCTATTATGCTGATGTTCAGCTTCATATATGTCTTTTGTGCCTCAATGATGACATGTGCATTTTCAATGTTGAAAAAGCTCTTAATTATTCTGCCTGTGTACCTCTTTTCACCCTTTGTCTGAAACCAGAGCCCAGTCTGCTCTGATTGGTTAGCTGGCAGGCTCTGTTGTGATTGGTCAACTGCTAAGAGATGTCCCACCCCTTAGCTTATCACGTACAATGTGTTGGAGTGCTAGCCAATAGGAGTGATTAGTGTTATGTTATGATGTCACTATGTTACAGAAGTAAACAAAGGAGTCCAATCAAGGTGTTCCAGGCAGGAGGGGAGTGTGTGGGATCACCTTTGGATGCTGGTTTTATGCCAGCTGCATAGAAAAGTCATCCTGACATGAAAGCTCCGGACTATGAGGGCTATACTCACACCTTAGCTGAATCGGACATGACATAGACTTAATACTGAAGAGATGGCAGGTTAATCCTGCATTGACTAATTAGCCAAATTAGTCAATGCAAAACACGTTTGCATGACTGAATTCATCTGTATTTGTCGCGTCTGATTTTCGTTGTCATATTCCAAACAATGGGAAATCTCTTGTCTTTGGCAATCTCACCCTGTCTATAAGAAATGCAGGTGATTGGTTGAGGGGGAGGAAAGCATGTAGAAGTGTTTGGAGCACAGTGGTGACTGGGTGTTTGGCAGTCAAGAGAGCGTAGGAGAGCTCAATGGGTTTGTTGAAATTGTTGCACTCGTAAATTGCCACTCGGAGAAGCGGAGAGCTCTCTAACAGCAAACTGCCCCGTTTGTAAATCCTCACTGTTATCAGACTTCCTCTACCTGTCCAAGAGCCACCCTGTCAGGGCGTTCTGAGCATGCTCAGACACTCAGCAGGACGTGTCAGTGTTAACAACACAAGTGAAGTGACGTTAAGATGGCTGCCGCTACTTAATGCAGTTGATAAATTATTATCAGAGCGCGAGAGAAAATATATTGACCCGTTTTATCTTCTTTTTGTTTGGTCTGTTATCTGAGCCATTCATAAAGCGCTCAGACATTGTCTGTCCCTGCGGAAGCTTGTGCTCAGATTGTGTCTATTTGCATTTACAAACAAGCAGTCACTCAGGGAAAAAATGAAGTTTATTGAAATGTAGTTTGAGTCCTGACAGCTGCATCGTGAAGAAAAGAATGTATTGGTTGTGTCAGAAGGTCAATATTGAATACACATTTTATACTAAACATAACGGCAACAAGTGAAGGTCTTATCACAGGAGGATAGAAATGACTCTCACTTCTCGTTGTTTCAGTAAACATGGCACAAGCTAACCTCTGCAGTCACAATCTACCAGCACACACTCAAGTGTTCCTCGTGATGAGGCTGTGAGCCACACTGGCCCTCTCTGCGACGCCATTAGCATTCGGCTTGTGTCTAGATTGTATTCAGATCAGAATTACCCATAATACATTTATACCTGGAATTAAAAATGTGTCTGAGCTACACAAAGTGTGTGCTGCTGCACTGCAATTACGATGTCTAATCCTGACGAAATCACTCAGAATTAAGGCAGATATATCTTCTCACAGGTTTTCAAGGAGGCTGCAGGACTTTGTTCAAGACAGGTACATGTGAATCTTTCATGCACATGTGATACATCTGGGCCATCGTGTTTTAATACAGTGTTTATGCTTCATGAATGTGATATTAGAAAGAGTAGACACATTTGAAACTAAAGATAGATAGACAGTTTTTCTCTCCTGGATCAATCCAATAGCCTATAAAAATGTTTAAGGAATTCACCTAAAACCAAAATAATTGTCAAAACATATATGAACATATTTCAGAAATTCAAATTATTTTTGGATCTCATTAAAGTTGTTGTATGTTATAACTGAACAATATGATAATTTCCACTGAAGTGTGTGTGTGTGTGTGTGTGTGTGTGTGTGTGTGTGTGTGTGTGTGCTGCCCATAAGTAATTATTACACACAGTAAGGCAAACATGGGATTGTTCTTTCACAGAGTTTCGGTATTTTCTTTTGTGAAAAGTCACTTTTAGAACCTCTTCAAATCATCAAATGTATTGCTAGATCAGTGGTTATGACAAACAAAAATTGGAAAATGAGTTAAAGAAAAGCAGTCTTGTCTTCTGGAACTAAAATGGAGGACGCAGTTTGGTGCTGAATACAGAGTATTCAAATTTCTTGCATTTAGTTTGTTGTTTACTGAATACCTATTTACAGTCACTCCTGTTCCTCAGACTTTACACTGACTCAGAACTGCCTTTCACTACATGTCCGTGCACTAAATATTAATCTTGGAAAGACAGCCTTCAGATATTTTCTGTTTGTCCAGAATGATTTACATGGAAGACTGAAAATTAACATGGTGATATTAATAATATTCAAGTTAGAGTAAGTCAAGATCCGTTCTATTGATTGTAGGTTGAACTGTTCAATGTGTTTTAAATGTGTTTTTCATACCTATGCCAAGGATGTTTCAGAAAGCATACATTCATAATAAGTCATACATATATAAATATTGTTATTGTGTTACGATATGTTAACTTATTCCATTACCATTTTAATTATTTGCATTTATCTGTACTTAGTTTCTAAATGAGATCTCAATCTTAATAAGACTTCGAGATTAATTAAACGTATATATGAAAAAGGTTAACTTTATTGCTGTATTGTGCTGTTTATCACCAGGTGCAGATCAAAAGGAGACAGACAGCTCAGCAGCCATTATTGGTGGTCAGTGCATGGCTCTGTTGGGGGGTGCAGCCCTGACAGCCTGAAGGCAGTTAGTATAGAAGAGACTAAAGACTAAACTGTATCTTATACAACACCTGCCATCTCAGCATAGCACATTCAGTATCCAACTTATCATCTTGTGCAAAACGCTCTAAAGACTGGTTTGTGATTAAAACAAAAATTATTATTCAATTTATACTGCAAATCCAAATTTCGTAGACGAACCACTGAAGTTCCTGTGCTGTCAATGCAAAATACATCAGGCGCCTGGCACTTTCCCGATATAGTTCCAGCTCAGGAGCTGCTGCACCACCTTGAGATTTGGGTCGTCTAATATGAAATGACCGGATTGTGAACTCTGCCACAGCCTGAGCCTGTCTGGCGCGGCAGAGATGAACGAGCCGTCGTGGGGATGCGTTGGCAGGTACTGCCTTCCGGACTGTTACAGCGCTCAGTGTAATTTAAGTCAGAGCACTTTGGCCAGTATCACGCCCTGTCGTTCCACTGGGACTGACAGCAGAGAGGTTTTATCAGACTGCAATTAGATTGAGGATGTGACCGTCCCATCCATCTATGTTAAAACCCACTATTCAGGGGAAAATGATAAAAAAAAAAATATCATAAAAGGAGCACATTTCTCTTTAAATACAGGGGAAATCTACACAACACTTTCATGAGCTGCTAATTTATTGCACACGTCATGTTAACCTCTGAGAGTCATGCGCTATACAGTCATGACAAAGTAACCTTGACATGTTACATTGTAATGACAAAGGTGTCAAATATATTAAGTAAAAAACGCTTGAATCGAGG